AGAAACTTGTGTAAAGAATCATTCAGATCTTTGTATACCACATATGTCAGGCCAATCCTGGAGTATGCAGCCCCAGCATGGAGTCCATATCTAGTCAAGGATAAGACTAAACTGGAAAAGGTTCAAAGGTTTGCCACCAGACTAGTACCCGAGCTGAGAGGTATGAGCTACGAGGAGAGACTACGGGAATTAAACCTCACTTCGCTGGAAGACAGAAGAGTTAGGGGGGACATGATCACCACATTCAAGATTCTGAAGGGGATTGATAGGGTAGATAAAGACAGTCTATTTAACACAAGGGGAACACGCACAAGGGGACACAGGTGGAAACTGAGTGCCCAAATGAGCCACAGAGATATTAGAAAGAACTTTTTTAGTGTCAGAGTGGTTGACAAATGGAATGCATTAGGGGGTGATGTGGTGGAGGCTGACTCCATACACAGTTTCAAGTGTAGATATGACAGAGCCCGATAGGCTCAGGAATCTGTACACCTGTTGATTGACGGTTGAGAGGCGGGACCAAAGAGCCAGAGCTCAACCCCCGCAAGCACAACTAGATGAGTACAACTAGGTGAGTACACACACACACACACACACACACACACACACACACACACACACACACACACACAGGTCAAGCGGGATGGTAAGACAACAAAGTGAAGCTGGAGGAGAGGGACTGGACGAGTCATACATGGAGATGATTGCTAAAGCATGGAAGGAAGTCAGTGGAGAATTGAAGGACCTGAGGGAAACTATATGTAAGCTGCAGATAGAACTAAGTGCAGCACAAGCGGAGATGAAAAGCCTAAAAACCGGCCCTCATCAGACTCTGGATCAGGGGACCAACCTCCAGGTACCAGGAGATGTAGCAATGGCAGGGACCCCTACAATTGGTCTAACCTTTGCTGAAATGCTGAAGAGCCCAGGAGCAATGTCCACAGTCAAGGAAGTTGTAATGAAAGCAGTAACCTCACAGGAGGCAGCTAATGGCACAAGCCACCTAATGGAAAGGAAAAGAGCTGTAGTAGTGGTAGGTGTGAAGGAACAAGATGGCTCCACAAGGGAGGAATCGCGGACTAAAGACAAAGCTGCAGTGGCAGGGATATTAAAGGAGATAGGAATGGAAGGGGGTGAACGAGACATAGAACAGTTTTCCGGATTGGCCAGTACAACAGAGACAAAAAGAGATTGATCAAGGTAGTATTCAAGAGCGAGGACATCAAAGAGGACATCCTAGTAAAGAAGAGCAAACTGAGGTATGCAAGGAACTACAAAGAAATATATGTTCAGAGGGACATGACCAGAGACAAGATAGTAAGGGCAGTAGATGCAAGGAAAAGGCGCAAGGAGAGGGAAGGGAAACAAGGGAACCTCAGCCTCCAACCCAGCAATCCCAGAGGGGAGTAAGGAACCGCAACCCAGGAACCCAGGGGGGAATGCAACACCCCAGCCCACCACCCAATAGGGCCCCCCTATCCCCCAGCACAAACCCTTCCTTGCCCCTGCACAATGCCCATCATGAAACCCAAATCCTGCCCCTCCCCTTACCCCAAGTATCCCCTGCTTTCCCAGCTCCTGGTCTTCTTCCTGCCCCAAGCAGACCTGACCAAGACCAAAGCTCTCTATCCCCCAATCCACCTTCCTCCCAAACCCCTGTCAACTACACTGCAGGAGGGCGTGCCCTTTCCCCAAGCAATCCCTGCCCCCCCTCACCCCCAGGACTTCTTCCTGCCCCAAGCAGGCCTGAGGAAGACCTAAGCCCTCCATCCCCCACTCCACCTCCCCCTGAACACCTGGCAACTACCTCACAGGAGGATGAGCCTACCCAAGTAGCAATGACCATGGAACAGCTTCCTACACTTGTGAGGAGTGAGGGTGAAATTGGATATAAGAAAGTAAGCTTCAAGGTAATGTACTCAAACGTTAATGGGATTACCAATAAAGCAAGTGAACTGGCAGAAAGGGCGCAAAAAGAAAACCCTGATGTAATAGGACTAACGGAAACAAAATTGTCAGGAGTCAAAACAGATGTTGTGTTTCCAAAGGACTACTATATAGTAAGGAAAGAGAGGGAAGGGAGAGGAGGTGGAGGAGTGGCCCTGCTGATAAGGAAGGACTGGAGTTTTGATGAGATGGAAATTCCAGGCTGTGACGGATTCAGCGATTACATAACAGGAACTATAACAATGGGTGGACCTAAGATAATAGTGGCAGTCATTTACAACCCTCCCCTAAATGACAGAAGACGTTGACAGGAGTTTGATAGGAACAACATTGTAACCATTAATATAATAGAGAGAGCAGCTTCAGTTGCCTGCAGGAATGAGTCAAGATTCTTAATCATGGGCGATTTCAACCATGGAAAGATAGACTGGGAGAATGGGGACCCACATGGAGGTGCAGATATGTGGAGAGCTAAACTCTTGGAAGTGGCAACAAGGAATTTTCTGAGCCAGCATGTCAAGGAACCCGCAAGAGTGAGAGGCAATGATGAACCAGCTAGACTCGACTTGATATTCACCCTGAATGAGTCAGAAATAAGGGAAGTCAAAGTTGAAGCCCCCATAGAAATGAGTGACCAGAGTGTACTGATCTTTGAGTGCTTGGTGGAGGTAGGGATAACCTATCCAAGGATGGGATCGGAGGGAAAAAGACTGAATTACCGAAGAGGAAAATATGACGAGATGAGGAACTTCCTCAGGCGAATACCATGGGAAACCGAACTTAGAGACAAGAATGTGTAGGTCATGATGGATTTTGTCACCCAGAAGTGCCAGGAAGCTGCAGACAGGTTTATCCCCGTCCAAAAGGAGAAAAACGAAAAACAACAGAAAAACCGATGGTTCAACCAGGAATGCAAGGTAGCGAAACAACTGAGTAAAAGAACATGGAGAAACTACAGAAATAACAGAACACCAGAGAGCAGGGAGAGATACCAGAGGGTCAAAAATGAGTACCTCAGAGTGAGGAGGGAAGCAGAGAGACAGTTTGAAAATGACATCGCGAGTAAAGCCAAGACCCAACCAAAGCTGCTCCACAGCCACATCAGGAAGAAAACAGCAGTGAAGGAACAAGTGATGAAGCTGCAAAAAGGGGAGAACAGATACAAATTGAATGACAAGGAAGTGTGTGAAGAACTCAACAAGAGATTCAAGGAGGTCTTCACAATAGAACAAGGAGAAGCCCCTACACTAAGTGAGGAGGCGGCAAACAAAGCAACCTTGGAAGAATTTTACCTCACCAGTGATGAGGTCAAAAGGTGTCTGCTGGAGCTGGATGTGACAGAGGCTGTTGGGCCTTACAAAATCTCTCCATGGATACTAAAGGAAGGTGTAGAAGCACTAAGTGTGCCACTCTCTATGGTGTATAACAGGTCACTGGAAACAGGAGACTTACCAGAAAGCTGGAAGACAGCTAACATGGTCCCAATATACAAGAAGGGTGACAGGCAAGAGGCACTGAACTACAGGCCAGTTTCCTAAACTTGTATACCATGCAAGGTGATGGAGAAGATCGTGAGGAAAAGGCTCGTAGTGCATCTGGAAGGAAATAACTTTGTAACGCACACCAACATGGGTTCAGGGATGCTAAATCGTGCCTTTCAGGTTTATTAAAATTTTATGACCAGGCAACAAAAAATAGGCAGGAAAGAGAAGGGTGGGCCGACTGCATTTCCTGGACTGCCAGAAAGCCTTTGACACAGTACCCCATAAAAGGCTGTTAAAAAAGTGAAACAGCGAGTAACGGTGAGGGGGGAGAAATCAGAGTGGCGAGATATCACCAGCAGAGTCCCACAGGGCTCAGTACTTGGACCCATCCTGTTTCTAATATATGTAAACGATCTTCCGGAGGGTATAGACTCGTTCCTCTCAATGTTTGCTGATGATGCAAAAATTATGAGAAGAATCAAGACGGATGAAGATAGACAGAGACTACAGGATGACCTGGATAAACTGGAGGAATGGTCTAGAAAATGGCTGCTAAAGTTCAACTCAGGAAAGTGTAAGGTGATGAAATTATGCGAAGGGAGCAGGAAGCTGAACACAAGGTATCATCTGGGAGGGGAAATTCTGCAAGAGTCAAATAGAGAGAAAGATTTGGGGGTTGATATCTCACCGAACCTGTCCCCAGAGGCCCACATCAAAAGAATATCATCAGCGGCATATGCTAGACTGCCCGACATAAGAACTGCCTTCAGAAACTTGTGTAAGGAATCTTTCAGAACCCTGTATACCACTTATGTAAGACCAAACCTGGAGTATGCAGCCCCAGCCTGGAGTCCATACCTAGTTAAGGGGGCTTCATTATTGTTTGGCCGAAAAAAATCGGCCAAACACGAAAAATTTATAAAAATACTACAACGTTCTGGCAACACCGTGGTGCAAACCGTTTAATGTTATGATAATAAATAACGTAATTAGAGTAAATTTTCCAGCCGCAATTGTCCGAAATCTGGTCCTCGCGGCTCGGGTGCGCCGTAGGGTGATGCGTCATACGTTGTAAGCGTCTAGTATTTCGCAATAGAGTGGAGAATATCTTGTTATGCATATACAAATTATAAACACACTCGCTGGCAACTGTCTTCTGTGAGAGGGAGGGGCTATAATCCGATTACTGGCTCAGTAACCCTCTCAGTGTCTGTGCCGGCGGTCGTATGCCTGACGCGCTCGCACAGATTGTATTTTCTTGCATATACTGCACAATGGATATAGTATCGGACAAGAAGAAAGCTCTAAAGGCAAGAGCTCTACGCGTTAGCCAAGTAAAGAAGGAGCGTAAAGCCACACTGAGGCAAAACAAGAGTTCTCTTGAGTGAAGAGAGAGGGCAGCCTCCCGCCCCCACAACACACTACCTCGCCTCACACCCAGGCACCCACACCTCCTGTGGCACCTGCCACACCTCTGTGGCACCTGCCACACCTCCTGCTGCACCTGCCACACCACCTGCGGCACCTGCCACACCACCTGCGGCACCTGCCACTCAAGATCTTAGACCTGCAACTCAAGACGTTCTCCCTCTTGATGTTGCAAGATGTTGCATATTTCAGACCAATTATATTAGGTTAGTATGTATTATTTTTTATATCTTGATACTACATCATAAATAATTGTAAATATAAAGCTGCTGTCTTTTTTTTTATTTTTTTTTTATTTTTTTTTTATTTTTTTTTTTATTTTTTTTTTTTTTAATAATTTTTTTTTTTTTTTTATCAGGCGATCTTCATGGAACTTACACACCTTACTGAAGGAATGCCAATCTACAAGGGTGGTAATTTTGATTGAAAAAGGGTAGTTCATCAACCTCAGCCAAAGGTGGCTGAACTTTGACCTTCATTTTTTACAGGTAACTAATTTGCAACTATATGGTTGAATAACTTTTTTATTTATTATTCAATTTACATGGAACTTGCACATTATATGTAGAGTCTGTGCCTCTAAAAACCCAAGTTATAAATTTCCCCTAAGATCATTTATTGATTTTATATATATTTATAAACATCATTTTGTTGCATAATTTTTTGGGTGAACTTTGAAAATTTGTATTATTGCACTAAATAGGTTTGGGATAATAATGCCACTAGACAACCTTTATTATATAGTATTGTGATAGCTGAGTATATAGAAATAATACCAGTTGATATTTATATTTGTTATATCAACTTTAAAACATGTAAAAAAAATGGTTAAAAAAAGTTTTTTTTTTTTTCTCTCTTTCTATTTAGGCTGCGATGCTGAAACTTGGACCACTTGCAGCCCTCTTCACGTGTAACACGTCAATAAATTTTCATTGCACTAGAACAACTTTTATGAACCCTAACTAACGCCCCCACAAACACAAGACAAAAATAGAGAAGATTCAGCGGTATGCCACCAGGCTCGTCTCGGAACTGAGAGGAATGAGCTACGAGGAAAGGCTAAAGGAGCTGAACCTCACATCCCTGGAAAACAGAAGAGTAAGGGGAGACATGATAACCACCTACATAATTCTCAGGGGAATTGATAGGGTGGACAAAGACAAACTCTTCAGCACGGGTGGGACACGAACAAGGGAACACAGGTGGAAACTTAGTATCCAGATGAGCCACAGAGAAGTTAGAATGATTTTTTTCAGTGTCAGAGTAGTTAATAAATGGAATGCTTTTAGGCAGTGATGTGGTGGAGGCTGACTCCATGCACAGTTTCAAATGTAGATATGATAGAGCCCAGTAGGCTCAGGAATCTGTACACCAGTTGATTGACAGTTGAGAGGCGGGACCAAAGTGCCAAAGCTCAACCCTCGCTAGCACAATTAGGTAAGTAGAATTAGGTAAGTACATGCACCAACATGTACACACACACCAACATGTACACACACACCAACATGTACACACACACCAACATGTACACACACACCAACATGTACACATGCACCAACATGTACATACACACTAACATGTACACACACACCAACATGTACACATGCATCAACATGTACACACACACTTACATGTACACATGCACCAACATGTACACACACACTAACATGTACACACACACCAACATGTACACACACACTAACATGTACACAGACCGAAATGTACACACACCAACATGTACACATACACGAACTTCTACACATACGCCAACTTGTACACATGCACCAACATGTACACACACACTAACATGTACACACACACCAACATATACACACACCAACATGTACACACACCAATATGTACACACACACCAACATGTACACATGCATCAACATGTACTCACACACTTACATGTACACATGCACCAACATGTACACACACACACTAACATGTACACACACACTAACATGTACACACACACCAACATGTACACACACACTTACATGTACACATGCACCAACATGTACACACACACTAACATGTACACACACACCAACATGTACACACACCAACATGTACACATACACGAACTTCTACACATACGCCAACTTGTACGCATGCACCAACATGTACACATGCATCAACATGTACACACACACCAACATGTACACATACACCAACCTGTAAACACACGCTTCAGAGACTACATAACAGGCACCATAACATTGGGAGGCCCAAGAGTAGTAGCAGCAGTGATATATAACCCTCCACCAAATGACAGAAGACCAAGGCAAGAGCATGACAACAGCAACATGGCAGTTAACACTATAATTGACAGGGCAGCCTCTGCTGCCTGTAGAAATAGATCCCACCTGCTCATCATGAGAGACTTCAATCACAGAAAGATAGACTAGGAGAACAAAGAACAGCATTGAGGAGAGGATACATGGAGAGCCAAACTAATGGAGGTGACGACAAGAAACTTTCTAAGCCAACATGTCAGTGAACCCACTAGGATGAGAGGAAACGATGAACCAGCGGGACTCGACCTAGTCGTCACTCTGAACGACTCCGACAAAAGGAAAATCGGCTATGAGGCCCCAGTAGGAATGAGCGACCAGAGTGTACTGGCGTTTGAGTATCTGGTTGAGGAAGGGTTATAAAACTCGAGGAGGGGGTACCGAAAACAAAAAACTAGCATTCCGAAAGGGAAACTTTGAGGAGTTAAGAAAAGGCCCAGGACATGATGGACTTCATCACGCACAAGTGCAAGAAAGCAGCGAACAAGTTTGCCCCAGTCGAAAAGGAAACTAATGAAATGAAGATGAGAAACCCATGGTTTAATCAGAGATGTAGGCTAGCTAAGCAGCAAAGTAATAGGGCATGGAGAAACTATAGGAATAACAAGACACTTGAGAGCAGAGAAAGATATCAGAATGCCAGGAATGAATGTGTCAAGATGAGAAGAAAGGCAGAAAGACAATACGAAAATAACTTCGCAAGCAAGGCAAAGACTCATCCCAAGTAGCTGCATAGTCACATCAGGAGAAAAACAACAGTAAAGGTAATGAATATAAGGATAGGGGCAGAAGGATTCACTACAAACGACAAGAAAGTGTGTGAGAAACTGAATAAGAAATTCCAGGAGGTCTTCACCGTAGAGCAAGGAGAGATTCCAGAGATAAGATAGGGAATAGTTAACCAGGAACCACTAGAAGAGTTTGAGATTACTAGTGGGGAAGTAAAGAAGTGTTTATTAGAGTTGGATGTGACAAAGGCTATTGGCCCAGATGGAATCTCCCCTTGGATACTAAGGGAAGGGCAGAAGCACTGTGCTTGCCACTCTCCATAGTGTATAACAAATCACTGGAAACAGGGGAACTGCCAGAAATTTGGAAAACAGCTAATGTAGTTCCAATACACAAGAAAGGTTATAGGCAGGAGGCACTGAACTACAGGCCAGTGTCCCTAACCTGCATACCATGCAAGCTGGTGGAGAAGATTGTGCGAAGAAAGCTAGTGGAACATCTGGAGTGAAAGAACTTTGTTACACAGCATCAACATAGGTTTAGGGATGGGAAGTCCTGCCTCACAGGGCTAACTGAATTCTACGACCAGGCAACAAAAATCAGGCAAGAAAGAGAGTGGTGGGCAGACTGCATACTTTTGGATTGCCAACAAGCCTTTGATACAGTACCACACAAAGGGCTAGTGAGAAAGCTGGAGATGCAGGCTGGAGTGAAAGGGAAGGTACTCCGTTGGATACGGGAGTACCTTAGTAACAAATGACAACGAGTCTGTGTGAGGGGTGAGGTCTCAGATTGGCGTGACGTCACAAGTGGAGTTCCGCAGAGGTTGGTCCTTGGACCAATACTGTTTCTGATATTTGTAAATGATCTCCCAGAGGGTATAGAATCGTTTCTCTCAATGTTTGCTGATGATGCAAAAATTATGAGGAGGATTGAAACAGAAGATGATAGTAGGAGGCTACAGGACGACCTAGACAGACTGAATGAATGGTGCAACAAATGGCTGTTAAAGTTTAACCCGAGTAAATGCAAAGTAATGAAACTAGACGGTGGAAACAGGAGGCCAGACACAAGATACAGAATAGGAGATGAAGTACTTAATGAAACGGAAAGAGGGAAATATCTAGGAATCGATATCACACCAAACCTGTCTCCTGATGCCCACATAAAAAGAATTACGTCTGCGGCATATGCAAGGCTGGCTAACATCAGAACAGCCTTCAGGAACCTGTGTAAGGAATCGTTTAGAATCTTGTACACCACATACGTAAGACAAATCCTGGAGTATGCGGCCCCAGCATGGAGCCCATACCTTGTCAAGCACAACACGAAGCTGGAAAAAGTTCAGAGGTATGCCTCTAGACTGGTCCCAGAACTAAGAGGCATGAGTTACGAGGAAAGACTACGGAAAATGCACGTTACGACACTGGAAAACAGAAGAGTGAGGGGAGACATGATCACTACCTACAAAATCTTCAGGGGAATTGACAGGGTAGACAAGGATAAACTATTCAACACTGGCGGTACGCGAACAAGGAAACACAGGTGGACACTGAGTACCCAAATGAGCCACAGGGACGTTAGAAAGAACTTTTTCAGCGTCGGAATAGTTAACAGGTGGAATGCATTAGGCAGAGAAGTGGAGGAGGCTGACTCCATACACAGTTTTAAATGTAGATATGATAGAGCCCAGTAGGCTCAGGAATCTGTACACCAGTTGATTGACAGTTGAGAGGCGGGCCCAATGAGCCAAAGCTCAACCCCCGCAAGCACAATTAGGTGAGTACAATTAGGTGAGTACACCAACATGTACACACACATCAACATGTACACAAACACCAACATGTACACACACACCAACATGTACACATGCACCAACATATACCAATGCACCAACATGTACACAAACACACCAACGTGTACACACACACCAACATGTACACATGCACTAACATATACTCAGACACCAACATGTACACACACACCAACATGTACACACACACCAACATGTACACACACACCAACATGTACAAACACACCAACATGTACACATGCACTAACATGTACACACACACCAACATGTACTCACACACCAACATGTACACACAACACATGTCTCTGATGCAATTTTTCCAGATGGGTACCAGGTGATAAGAAAAGAGAGGACACAGAGACAGGGAGGAGGAGTGGCACTCCTAATAAAGCAGAAATGGAAATTTGAGGACCTGGAAAATCGGGTTACCAATGAGAGCACAACATTCATATATGGCACTCTGACAGTAGATGGGAGGAAAAGTGTGATCTTGGTACTCTACAATCCCCCAAAAAAGCTGTTGATGTCCCGGGCAGGAGTATGATGACAACAACAACGCATGCACAGACGAACTGCAGACGGCATCAACATTAGCTCACAGAATGAGAGCGAAGCTGCTGGTCATGGGGGACCTAAATCATGAAGAAATATATTGGGAATCAAGAAATCCCCATGGAGGAGACGAAACGTGGGGAGCAAAGTTAGTAGATGTTATAGACAGGAATTTCCTAACACAACATGTGAAGGAAGACACAAGGGAAAGGGGAGGAGATGCACTGAGCCTATTAGACCTGATTTTCACCAAGGACGTAAAAGACACAGAGAATTAGGAACATGAAATACCTCTAGGGGCCAGCGACCATTGTGTCCTCGTCTTTGACTACATGATGGAACTCAAACTTGTGACCAAGCGACAAGATATCTGGGAAAGGAGAGTTGACTACAGGAAATGAGACTACAGGAGGAAGAGGGACTATCTGGGAGAAGTGCAATGGGAGGAAGAAATTAGAGGAAAAACAGTCCAAGATGTAATGGACATAGTCATACGGAAATACCAGGAGGCCGAAGAGAGATTTATAGCAACAGTAAAGGGGAAAAAATAAGAGGGAACATAATAACCCATGGTTCAATAGACAGTGTCA